CTTCTGGACACTAGAATAACAGGGTTGAATATATCTCTCCAACCAACTAGAACATTTTAAGTATAAGAATGGACTAAAAAATAATGTAGACAGTAAAGAGCTAAAGACTGTGACCAATGAAATATAAAAAGTAACGAGAGGGAGACTCAGGTCCTACTTGGTCTGTAAGCAGAGACAAATTTGGAACCACGGTTAGTAACAATCACAGATCTAGTGCAGTGGGGTGTGGTGAACTGAGGACACAAGAACTGGTTTGGGATGACGCTGTGGGTATGCCCTGGGAGAGAATTGTGAAGGGGAAATTAGTTAGCAAGTAAGTACTAGAACTCTCTGCAGGAATTTCCCTGAGAATTGACCTGTCTATTAAGCCATGTGTGTTCAAGGCAAAACTCTAAAACTAGTGAAACAAATCTTAGACTGTGGCAAATTAAGAATTCTTATAGCTTCCATAATAGTGAGAGTCACCCAAGCTCTGTAATGTCAGGTTAAAGGAATCTTATCACTAAAGGCATTCAGTACAGGTCAGGGAGATGTTATAGAATAAAAATGGGAGGTAAAAACAAAGCAAACTGAAAAATCAGTGTGCTCTCTTTTACTAATTAAGAGGCAAGTATGCAGGCTACCCCAAAACATAAAGATGACACGATATGGGTGAATCGAGCGAAGAGCTCTTAGCAGGGAGCATCCATCTGTGCTAGAGTGAATGTCCTTGGTGGAGGAACAAACTGACTCAATGAAATGTGCTCTGAAGCCGGGCAGTGGTGGTGCACACCTTTAATGTCAGTACTCGAGAGGTAGAGGCAGGCGGATCTCTGTGAGTTTGAGGTCAGTCTGGTCTACAAGAGCTAGTTCTAGGACAGGCCCCAAAGAAATGTGCTATGAAATGAAGTGTTTGATGATGAAGACAGAGCAAGAGAATTCTGCAGATCTTCATTTTGAGGGTAAGATGGCTTACAGTGGAACAGTTTGTGGGTTTCACCCTCAGGGACCTACCAAGAACTCACAGAGAATATCTAAGGAAGACACTACTGTGGTTCTAGCAGAAGTGATAAGAGAGAGAACTAGGAGCTGCTCGTACCTGAGAGACGAGTTGTGTCATAATAGGACATCGTCTTGTCCTGATTTTACTTAGGAGAAGAGCCTTATTCTTTTTTCAATGCCCTGAAAGTTTCTCATGTAATGAAAAATGACAGAAAAAATTTAAAAGCATGTGAAACTCACAGCCCAGGGTCACTAGACCAATAAAAGTCTAAAATTTCTGGATATAAAATAAATTTTTCTTCATACAATATATTCTTCTCAGTCAATATCATGGAATAACTTCTTTTCTTCCAGTCCTTGCCACCTTATCAATACATAGGTCCTAAAACACAGTTTAAAAAACTGTGAGACACTGAGTCACTGAAGAATAATTAGGGATGATCAAGTAGGGGGAAAATAAAGGCATTGAATTTTGGATCTCTGATATTCATTCATCTAGATCTATAAGCTAGGCAATATTAAATATAATCCAGCTAGAGCCAAACTGATACATAATCACATTGAAAATATACTTCATGAGTTTATGTTCCTTGAACTGTCATGATTGGTTTTAAATATGTCTGAGGCAGTATCTGAGCCTGAAGATAAAATAACCAGGAATAAACGTTGATAAAAAATAGATGCTGGTGTCACCAGAGGAGGAATTTCAAGTAACTGTGTTTAATATTCTAGTGGATTTTACTGCAAAGATTAAAAATACACACACACACACATACACACACACACCACATGTTATATAGAGCTAGTAATAGAAACATTAAAGCAGGATAAAAAGAAAAGACAAATAATCAAATCATTGTAAAAATAAATGAAAATTGCCTTTGATGACCACAGGAAATACTGTACCTGATAAGAAAAGACAAGTAAACTGGAATGTAAGTACATAGGTAAAAACAGGGGAAAGAAAACATACAAAATAGAACACCATACCACAAACTATGGTACAATATTTTCAAAGTACAGCAGACCCCCCTCCACACACACAAGAATGTAAACATATGCTCACACATATGCATACACAAGTTTCAGTGTGAACAACTTTTATTACTCTGGCTCTGGTAAGGGTATTCTTACTATACCCTGCATTCTATTCTATGTCTATGGATATTACATATACACATTTATTTATTGCGATAAATAAATGTGTTTAACAGAAAGAGAAGAATGAACAGAAGAGTTAGTTGATATGGTGATGATCAAAACCCAGAAGCTCTGACATACTTACAGCTCTTATAAACATCAAATGACAAACATCAGATCACAGATACAGCAAGAAAGTAGAACACCAAGAAAGAAAATAAAAAATATCCCGCTGTGAAGCATATTATGTTCAAACTAAAAATAATTAAGACAAAAAGAAAATGTTAACAAAAACCTGAAACAGAAGGAGTTATTTACTCAGGAGCAAAGAAAATATCACTAGACTATCAAAATGGCGCCGCTAATACTTGCAAGTTGATACTAAAGATTTTATGAGAAGAAAAGACCAGAATAATTAGCAGAAGTGACTGAAAAACAATTTTGAGGTCACGTAGGAGTTGGGTGGTAACAGAATGTTCAGAAAATTGGTTCATTTTCATAGTTGGACACTTATATGCAAGGTTAAAGGTTGTACTTGTTGCATGATTAACAAAAACTCTGAGACCGAAATTGGGGTTCAAGCTGAAGATCAGAAAAGCAAAAAAAAAATAAAAAAATAAAAAAAATAAAAAATAAAGCCAGCCACTGGCTCTTACCTCTACCTCAGTCTGAAATGGTGAACCTGCCTCCAGGAAACCTCTGAATGAGAGTGGCTGAGAACTGTCTCATTCCATTTTATAATACTCTCTAGTTCTGGAATTAAGGGACTGCACCACTATCTCTTCGTTTCTATGGCAAACTAGTGTGGCCACTGGGATTAATGGTGTGTCATTGTGGCTACTGGGATTAAAGGTGTTTGTCATTGCTGTCTGATCAGTAAGACTGACCAGTGTGGCTCTTTTACTTTTCTGATCTTCAGACAAGCTTTATTTATTAAAATATGAATAAAATGCCACTACAGGTACCTCATATTTTTCACAAACAGGAGAAAAAAAATGAGAAACAACTAAGTTGAAACAATGAGATCTTATGTTGAAGGGCTATAAAGGGCCATCTGAAAGTGTGCCCATTGACCAAAATCAAAGCCAAACATATAACCTGGCATTAGTCTATAAGCCAAGTCATAAAATAAATATCTGTCAATTCTCCATTGACTCAAACTTGTAGAAATGAATAATTGAGTAAAATAATCACAAATTGCAAATAAAAATGTTGGATATATCATCCTTAAAGAGATGGTTCATAAATCTTTATTTTGTTACTATGATTTTATATAATAACTTGCAAATAGTACACAATGTTGTAAAGAGAAAAAATACCTCTTCATTAAAGAAACCCAGCACATCTACCTCAGTAAGTAAAGATAACACTAACACCATATTGACAAACACATTCTATAATTTATATTCAGAGGCAAAAGTGCAATACACATGCACTATGAAATGCTGTTCAACTATAAAGAAAAGTGATATCATGAACTTTGAAGGCAAGTGGGTGAGACTAGAAAAAAAAAACTCATATTATGTGACATAACTCAGACTCAGGAATACAAGCATTACATGCTATCTTTCTCATCAAGTCTCTTAGATCCAAACCTTCAGATGTGAGTACATAGCATGGAGTAACTTTACAAATCTTCAGTAACAGCTGCCAAAAGACTCAGGACTGACACAGAAACATCTAGTTCTCAGATATCAGCATAAGTCACACCACTATTGCCCCAGTGAGCAGATCTTACAGTCAGTAGTGTTACAGACAAGTCGAATATTTACCAATATACATGGAGTCAAAAGTATGGGAAAATTCAAATAATGTCATTTTCATTGCCAACCAGGAATATAAAACTTAAACCTAAACTACGATTTAGCCATACAGTCACCAAGACATTGGAATAAAACAAAGTTAAATATTGGTTGCCAGGAGGATGTGGAGAAAGTGAAAGATCCACATTGCTAAAGGAAGGGAAAATATTAACAATTGCTTTGGAACGCTCTTAATAAATACAGAAATAAAACACAGATGAATGCGGCCCTGGGAATTCCTCTCGTAAGTACATTCACAGAGAAACCTGCCTCTATATCCACAGTGCATAGGAATAGTAATCAGATTCTTTTTTTTATTTATTTATTCACTGTATCTTGTGGTTTTGCCAGCATGTATATGAGGGTGTCAGATCCCCTGGAACTGGGGTACCAGACAGTTGTGAGCTGCCATGTGGGTGTTGGGAATTGAACCTGGGTCCTTTGGAAGAGCAGCCAGTGCTCTTAACTGCTGAGCCATCTCTCTAACTCCTCAACAAATGTTTTCACAGTAAGTCCAATTAAAATAGAATTAGTTATTACAGTATCCATGTAAAGCTCCTATTGCAAAGAGCCATGTTTTCACCACCCACCCCAAAGGCACAGAACCAGAATGATTTCATAGCATCACCTTGGTTGCAGGAGGGCAGATGGCTCAGAGGGAATGGAAGGGGCACACACTGATATGGGGACAGGACAATCTTATAACCACAGCTTTAAATTATAATAAAAACTTCCTTTAATAGAGGCTTGTAACATGGAAGAGATTTGTCAGATAAAATGTAGAGTTTTCCAACACACTGAAATAAAAGCCGATAAGTCACCATAACTACAACGCCCAATAATAAAAACGACAACAGCAAATTCACACGGTCCCTGTAACAGCCATGATCTGATTCACATGCTTTTGAGAGACGGCAAATACGGCTTGGTGGATACAGAGCGCTCTAGGGCTTTGAAGTCACTCATCTGACAGGGTTGTGGGATTGGTGGCTCAACTCAAGAAGTAAAGCAGGTCCCAGCACTTCAGTGTATTGAACATCCTTTAAATATCAAAGTGAGAAATAAGAAAACAACATAATCAGGCCATCAGAGACGCCAGGAAGCAAGGACAGCTGTGTAAAGAAAGCTTGTGGCTGAAGGGTGGCTCGCCAGCTTCATTTCTTTGGCTTCTTGGGTAGTGGCCGCCAGAACAGTAAGATGTGAGGTTCTGTTTCATGGATCATATAATGGACCCATCCCTGACTCTGTTGAACACCAAGATTTCTCCATTCAGATCCAGACATCAAATGGGTTTTAGGGACCAGCTTGGCTATGTCCTTGGGCAACATGACGTGCCGGTACTCGAACTCCTCGTCGTCGTATTTGTCCGAATAGTAAATTTGTTTGTGCAACATGACTGCTCTGCCCGAGGGCGCCCAGCCCCGCGCCGCTGGCCCGCAGACAACTCCCAGCAGCACGCCTAGTAATCAGATTCTTAAGCCCACATCATATTTCTATATTTCTTCTCTCTCTCTCTTTCTCTCTCTCTCTCTCTCTCTCTCTCTCTCTCTCTCTCTCTCTCACTGATTTCTGCCATCTTCATCACCATCCAAGTTTATTTTATTCTTCCCAGCATTACAAACATATAACTGATTATGAAATTAGATATTAAGTAGGAAAATCTGACTCTGTTAAGTGGTTACAATTAAAGTAATCAGCCAAGTCACATCTCACACTCTTACGTTCTGCATGCACAGTAACAATGAGGAAAATCTCTTTTAGTAAATTTTACGTTCATGATACCTCATCACTGATCACAGTCACTATTAGGTCTCCAGAATTTCTATCACCTTACTCTGAATGTCTGTGCTCTTTGACCAACTTCTTGCCATTCATCCTGAACCCAGCTCTTGTGCCTAGGATTCCCATACATGTTAAGACATATAGCTCACTTTTCTATGCCTGCTGCATTTTTATTAGCAGCATCTTTTTTATTTATTAGATTTTTTAAAAAATACCAATCCAAGTTCCCACTCCCTTACCTCCTCCCATTCCCTCCACACACCCTCCCACCCCACCCACATCTAATCCTCAGAGACAGTAAGGTGCATTGCCTTGTGGGAGGTCCAAGGCCCTCCCTACTATATCTAGGGTGAGCAAGGTATACATGCAAAGAGAATAGGACCCCAGAAAGCCAGTACACGAAATAGGGATGAATCTTGGTGCCACTACCAGGGGCCCCTCAGTCTGCCCCAGCCATGCATTGTCAACCCCATTCAGAGGAACTAGTTTGGTTCTATGCTTTTTCCTTCCTGGTCTGACTGGAGTTGGTGAGCTCCCATTAGCTCAGGTAATCTGTTTCAGTGTGTGTACCCATCATGGTCTTGACCTCCTTGCTAATATTCTCATTCCTTCCACTCTTCAACTGGACTTTGGGAGCTCAGTCCAGTGCTCCGATGTCGGTCTCTGCCTCTGCCTTCATCAGTGATTAGCAGCATCTTTTAGTACTGTGTTTCTCTAAAGGTCAAGCTCCTTTCTTATTCTTATCATTGATAATATTTCATTCTGTGTGTACACAAATTCATTTACAATAGGCAATTGTGTTGTTTCTGTATCTTCGCTAACTCACATTTAATATTACAAAGAAGATGTAAAAGTATATTTTAATACCCAACAGAGACCATGATGACATTACTTCTTTCTAATGACACCTGAGCCTGCAAAGAGATATGTTTCTAGAGAACTCCATAGGAGCTGGGCATGAATTTAAATTTGCTATAAACAAGTCATTTCTAGCTAGATTTCAAAGAGAACAGTTGACTTAAAAAACAATTTGCTGCATTCATTTTAGTGAAGCAAGCTTAGGAAAAAAAGGTTTTTTTTTTCTCTATAGTTAAGGATAGAAAATTACAAGAACTAGTACTAAGAAACCCAAGTGGCAGGCTGCCGCTTCATTACAAATACCACCTGATTGAATCACTTTGAGGGGCTGTCCGTCTTTACCACTCATGTGTGCTGTATCTTAGACTGAAGTGGAAGAAAATTAGGGAACTTTCAAAATGAAAACTGATTTCATAAATTATAGCCCAGAAAATAACAAAAAGAGCTGTCATGCCCTTTAACTGCGCTTCCTTTCATTTCAGCAGCATACTTTGTCTTCAACCTTTGAGCCTGGCTATTGTCGCTATTGTACTCAAACCAAGGCTTTTCTTCTGCGGTGCAAGCAAGAGAAAAGATACATGATGATTTTTGTGCTGATTAGAGAGAATGTGCGTGCTCAGATAACTTTTGCAAGACAAATTGTTAAGACAGAGAATGCGAAAGCCTAAGACACATGAAAAACAAGTAACAACTATTAACACAATAAAGGCAGATCATGGTGGTCTGAAATACACACATAAAAGCTCGCCAGGCCCAATGCTCCTAAAGTGGGAAAGATAATTCTACAAGAAAGTGACCAAATAGCAAATCTTTGGATGTGTGAGAATTGTAGTCTCTCAACCTCTGTGTTTTCCAAAGAGTATAACTCCAAAAAAAAAGTGAGTAACAATGTCATCAAAGCTTGTCTACTAAAGATTTTTATTCAAAGTATATCATTGCTTATTCTAAAATAAGATTTGTCCAAACATATAAAATATACCTATGTAAATATGTAAAGGAGAGATTGCATATTACCACTTAAAAGTACTATTCATTCAGTTTTGTGCGCATTTATACATGCATTAATCAGATATCACCTAGGCTCAGTATAAAAACAGAAAGCAAGGGAATAAATGTCTTTGTCTTAAAGGATATAGATGAAGTGCTATATTCACTAACATAGAATGTTCTGTTACTGAGACTAGAAGAGAAAAGTATAGTAGAAGGACTTGTCATCAAATAATGAAGTTCTTTTTTTTTCTTTCAAAGTTTATTAAATTATAAAAGTTTCCATTTCCGCCCCTCCTCCCAACACCCTCCCTCTCCCCCCACTCCCTCTCCTCCTCCCTCTCCATCCCTAAGAGCAGTCAGGGTTTCCTGCCCTGTGGGAAGTTCAAGTTCCTCCCTCCTCCCTCCAGGTCCAGGAAGGTGAGTATCCAAACAGACTGGATCCCAAAAATCCAGTATATGCAGAGGAAACAAGTCCCATTGTCATTGTCAATGGCTTTTCAGGAAGACTCCGGGCCAGCCACATTCAGAGAATCCGGCCACATTCAGAGAATCTGGTTGGATCACGTCCTCGTTCAGGCCTGGAGATTGGAAATAGACAAGAGTGCCAGAACCTTCATCTGGCGATGGATGGCGATAGAGACAAAGACCCACATTGGAACACTGGACTTAACTCCCTAGGTCCAAACGAGAAGCAGAAGCAAAGAGAACGAGAACAAAGAAGGCAAGACCAGAGGGAACCTTCATCCGATGATGGACGGCGATACAGACGGAGACCCACATTGGAGCACTGGACTGAGCCCCCCAAGGTCCAAATGAGGAGCAGAAGGAGGAAGAACATGAAAAAGGAAATCAGGACTGGGAGGGGTGTGATCACCCACTGATACAAGAGGACTGATCTAATGAGAGTTCACCAAGGCCAGTTGGACTGGAATGAAGTTCTTCTTAAGAGAAATATATTCACTTCAAATTCATTTTTCCAAAGTATTAAATGTTATACTGATAAGAGATTAAATGAGACGAACAAATGCAAAAAATAAAGTAAATGGAACATGTTGCCCAATCATAAAATCAGGAAATACAAAAGGAATCACTTTGTTAAGAGGAAACTTCTGGGACTGTTTTCAATGCATGCGTATATAGGTAGATAGTAGGACAGCTCTTGTGAGCAAACAGAGAAAGGGAAGAAAGGAAGGCAGGCAAGCAGGAAGGAGGGAAGCAAGGGGATAAAGTTGTCCCAAAATGTCTTTAAGGTCGTGCGACAATTTTGAGATTATGAGGAGCTAAAATTATCTTGAGATACATTTAGTCCCTCTGAAGGCCATTCATTTCCATTCATGACTAACTAACACCCTGTGATTAACAACAACAAAAAACCTTACAATACATTGTTAGCAGAACACTAGCTTCCTTGCTAGTTCAAAAACTGAGAATGTCATCAAGACCATTTGAGACTTGCAGCAGAGCTTTACCTGCTTCTCTGTAACACTCAGATTTATGCATTTCTTAGTTCTGCTACTTGTACATTCTTCTGTAACCATTTGCATAGTAAAACAGGGGATGGGGAAACCTGAAAATATGTTCAGGGGCCATATTATCATATTTGTCTTTACAATAAGGTGTCTGCTATCAGTTTGAGAAGATAACTATATTTATGTGCCCACAATATACAATACACAGGTGATATTTTGACTGACTGTTGGGTTATACTTATTTTCCTCTGAAAATCTTTAGCTATTACAGACCGCCTGAAATAAAACAAATAAGGCTAGACATTTAAACTCCCACATTCTTCCTCTGTCTCCCTTTTCTTTATTGTGTGAAAGAACTTTTTTTTCTTTTTTTTCCATTTTTTTTAATTCCTTAAAAGTCTGATAATATAAAAAAATCTTCAAGTTCAGTTCAGGGTTAGATTTTTCTGGATCATCTTGTTCAAAAGGAATTTTAAAATTTAATAATTTTTTGAGATATTTGGTTATCTAAACTTCCTACCCATTATACTTTTCCAATTATTGTTCAACCCGTAAGCCAGGATACAGTCTACAAATACTCAAATTTACCTTCATTATTTTTCTTTCATTTCTTTAAAATATCTGTTCAAGGAAGTTATTTAGATCTTCTTCCCCTAACATTAAGTAAATTTTAATCTCTTGTGCTTTCAATTTAAGTCCTTTAATGACAAATTTCCCAACATTTATTTTTTCAGATTACAAATCTTTTATAACCCAGTTGTAATTTATTACCTCAAGCATGGCTTTTTTGTTAGGTATTTTGAATGGTACCTTTTCTAATACAGGCGAAGTGAGTTTTACTTTTGCTCAAACTATATTTTATTCTCAACTGGGATTTTTTTTTTCTGCTAATGGTGCATGCACATCTCCTTTTTTAAATTTAGCTGTTCTTTACCAAGTTCTTGTCATGGTCTAGTATGAGAACACTTCAACATAGAGAGGACCATTTCTGGTCATCTTGGAACTTGGGAAACTGCTTAGTGTGGCTACATTCTTCACTAACCCTGCACTATGTCTAATGCCTGCTTTGAACTTGATTTTGACTGTAGTCTACTCTCTTTTCCCCTCACTTGAAAGCAAGGTACAGAGATATGTTACTTATCTGAGAATTAATTTGATTGGGACATATAGGAGGCATTCTTGGGTTAAATGCCCTACATTAGTGCTCACTCCAAGTGGGAAGTGAGAGGGATTTTGTCTCATTCATGCTGCACAGACAAGCAAATACGGAATGACTTCTCTTGGAGAACTGGACAGTTTATGGTGTCAACATTATTAACTAGCTGCGATTCACAGTTTCTCCCTTGTAATAATTTCA